CTGCTGATTCACAACTCACCTCCCTTTCATTTATTGTTCTTTGAAGAAGTTGTCCCTGAAAACAACAGCACGGCTGCTCTCTGAAAGGCATGTTCCTGTGCCGTCCCTGATAAGAATGGTGTGGCAGCAGAACACTTGTGGATGTGACACAGCACTGTGCTTCCACAGCAATCATTGTGCCATCGCATTTTTCTTTTTCAAGTATTTGTGGAAAAGCCTAAAGTTAGCGGGTATAAATCACAAAAGGCTGACGCTTGCATTGGCAAGTGAAGTGATTTCATTCAGGATGACTAACAGATTAATACAGCATCTTCTGAATAAGGTGGCCTCAAAACCATAAAAGCTTTCTCTGTACAACAGCAACATGTCGTGTCAGTCCTGCATGGAGAGCGGCAGTACCAGGGCAGGTCCACAGGCCATCTGTGGATTTCGAGGTGGCCAGCTTTTTATGTTTGTGTAATGCTGGCACAATAGGGTCCTGATTCCTGATTGCACTATTGCAAGCCATATAATCATGCGCAGAACTCCTCTGCGCTAAAAGACTATTATCTGGATTGCAAATAAAAAAGACAGGGTTTGTAAATGCCTGTTTTGTGGTTACCCACCTATTCTGACTCCCTATGTGAGCATTTGTATATTAGCTAAGAAATAGTATGTGATTGTGCTGTTGGACATTGCTATGAGGTCTGTTAATAAGGGAGCCAAAATGAGATTCTCATTGGCAACTACAAATCAGGTATATCCAAATGTTTAAGGAGCTGCCAGGAAGCTGTGCCTTAAAGACAGGTTTCTTAATATGACCTTCAATTTATTAAAGAAAAAGGGATTTTAAAATTTTTGTAACAATCACCACTTCCATTTTCCATCATCAAGAAGGCTTGCATCCTAAGTCACCTGCACTGGACATTTGCTCTTCCCATGACAGAACTAATGCCTGTTAATTACAATAAATGATTAGCAAGCCAGAAGCAAAGGTGGGTGGAGGTCCCAGACTGAGCCTATAGAGATCTAGCCCGTTCCTCAACCTGGTCCCTGCGTTCCCTGCATGTCGGGCAGGGTGAAGGATGTGGGTGAGGACGGGCTGAAGGAGAGGGTTATTGGTGCCACACGGGACCTTCCAGAGGGTGGCTGCACAGTGACAGTTCCTGCAGGTAGTCACAGAACAGCAAGTGCCACTGCTGCCTTAGCAGCAGGATTAGGTAGCGTACAGCGTTATGGTATATAAGCTTGCTCTCAGTTGTGGGGGTTTCTTGGCATGCCTTTTACATTCTCATGAAGGAGGCAACCAAGAGAGGATGTTCCACTTCTACAAAACCTTGTAATTTAGTTTTAACCAAGGATGATTTTGGAACAAGTTGGGGGCACAGCTGTAGTCTTCTGGTTTTGTGCTTGCTGAACTCTAAAGGGCTGCTGTGAACCCTGCAAATACGATTCTTTTATTTTAAGAAAAGACTTCTGCAATGGAAGGCCACATATATAAGGGACAGCAATAATTCCCACCACACTGTCCATGCCCAAGCCCCTGGCTTCAACCTGCCTTTCCATTTCCTTAAAGCCCTCCTGATCCCGCAGTGTGAAAGCTGCCTGCCAAGGAGCCGGTGGCACTGCCATTTCCCTCGTGTTGGCTCCATGTTCTGGTTGCCCTCCTGCGCACTGATCTGCACGGATAATCACAGACATCATACACAAACACAAAGCTGAAACGCAACGGCCTGAGAGGCCTTAAGTTTGAATGGAGAGACGAGCACTACTGCCCGCTCGGATCCCACCACTTCCAAGCACCCCATGTGCTGCTGCACGGAGTCTGGGATGGAGGGATGCCTATAAAACCCTCTCCCAAATCTTTAAGTCAGGAGGGCAGCTGGAGTAGCATTAACAGCATCCCCAGGAGCACAGGGAAAGAAATCGCAGGAAAGCTGAACACCCAACAAGTAATTTCTGTCTTGCTTTGAATTCCAGTTTTCTGCTTTAATCTGACTTGCAAAACTCCTCCTTTAGCCAGCAGTTGGTACATATTAGTATTACCGAAACTATTACTACGGCAAATTAGTCTGCTAGCCCATGACAGATGGCTCCAGCACACGCAGCCCAGTGTCATGAATGTTGCCTGACATTTGTCAGCAGTATTATAGCACTCAGCAAAATATTCAGAAAATGGTTATTAGTTTACAGATCCGCACAGACCACATACACTAATCATCGTCTGAATATTCAAAATGACAGAACAAGCAATAACCAGCTCATTTTCTAATTGTTAAAATATGTTGCTGCATTTATTGCTGTAGCTATAGATTTCAAACTAGCCTTTGCAGACTGACGGGATAACATTCTTGTTGACATGCTTTCCTCTGCCTTTGCATAGAACTAAAACCTGACACCTGCACAGGTTGACAGCTATTAATGTTCATGTGCGTCTGGCAGGAGCCGTCTCATTAGTGTGGAAAGTGGTGTGAAGGTAGGAAGCACTGCACATTTATAAAATGCCTGCCAGAGTGGGCTCCCTTTTCCTTTGACTGTTTCTTTGAATTATAAATATTTTTATGGTTAAAATAATGGAGGCAACAGTGTGCATCTGTGTTTGCTGGGGCCGCTTTATTCACTCTCTTTGTTAGCTTAGGGGAGGCACAGCTCTGTTGACTTTGCGCTGCTGCACCACAAATATGGATTTTGTGGACGGTTTCTGGAGACCGGATGTATGGGAAATTTTAGTTTCAGATTATAGATGTTGGATCAACTGACTGGCTCAATAAATCCATATCCAGAGATAATTTTTGGCTTGAGGGCTTAAATTAAAAGGTTCTTTCCCATATACCTACATGACATCAGCTGATGTGCAAAGTAAAGGGAAAACTAGCTCAGTTCAAATAATAAAATGCTTATACAGGTTTCTGTTAGAGGCACATACCACTTAAAAGGCTTTATGATTTCATCAGCTCTCTGTGCCTCATGTGGAACCATCTCTCTGAAGTGGCAATTATGCCATTTCCATCCCAAATACAGTTTATAGCAGAAAAGATGTATTTATACATGTCCTTACTATATACTGAAGATTTACCTAGTGTGTTAGCTCCAGCATCTAGTCATATGCAGAATCAGAGCTGCTCAGCCCAGTTCTGTTAATTACTTATCACTGATACCAACAGAAATTCACTCAGGTGGTGGTAATGGCAGTCAGAGAGCCAGAGAAAGCAAAGAGGGAAGAAATGGATCTGCATTTTGAACACAAGCATCTGCTTTGTCTTCGCAGTTGTGTAAGTCAGGCTAGGCCATACTGTGATACCCGCAGAGTTGTGTGTTGTGATTCTACAAAACCAAACAGAATGAAACAAAGCAAACAAAGCAGAAGATATCTAACTGCCCCCGATGCATTTGCTGGTCTCTTTTTCATTTACATAAATTGCAATCCACACTTGGAACAGCAGCTAGCTTGCGGCTGTGCAGAACCATGTAGCAATTACCACATTCCAGCTGAGCTGATGGGGCCGTATCTGCACCTCATCCCCTCCCGACAGTGGACTAGCTTAATAGTTATTTATTTTGACTAATCTGCCATAAGGGTTGCTCCCTTCAGTCTTATCCATTATGTGATTTAGCTGGAGAATTATCGTTATCCTAGTTTTTTTTTTTCTCATTATTATTATAGTGGTTATGGTACATTACTGGAATCAGACTAAATTTAGCCATACGAAGGAGCTTGGCACAGTAAATACTGCACTTGTGAAGTTTGGGGGATGAAGGATTGGAACAAGTGCTGTCTCTCAGGCACCTTGCTATGTTCCCTGTTAAATAAAGCAGAAAGGCAACCTCCTGGCTGCCTGTTTACAGCACTACTTGTTTCTCTCAGAATTTACTGGGCAGCGATGAATAATTAAAGTTCCCCTTCCCACAGTTGTTACCATTGAATAAATACTGCCATCAGGGAAGGGATCAGGGCCCCGTGTGGTGCTCGGCACAGAACCCCGCGGCCCGGGCGCCCCGTGCACGTGCAGAGCTGCCGGCTGCAGAGCCGCGCTCGGAAACGTGGGCGCCGCAGC